TTTCTATTGGATATAAGTGCTACATTGTTCAAATATAACTTTAATAATAATTTTCAATATTAACATGTAAGAGTAATATATAGGAGCAAGAATGGTTACAGAATAATTTGAACAAGTAACTTGTATAATTAAGAACAGAAATTTTGCTGATGGATATATTAGGAAGGAAGAAGAGAAAAGGAAGAAGTAGTTAGAAAGAATGTCTATACTGGATTTGCATAAGTGTTACCTACCTTACTGACTGAAGCCTTGGAGAATCAAGCAAGGATATCCCATGGAGGTCACAGTAGGCAGTAGCATAGTCCATTAGTCCTTCTGTCTCAACCATGCCTAGATGCTTAAACTTGTTAACCTTTTAACCTTTATTTATTTATTTTTTTGTACCAGGAATTGGCTCCAGGGGTACTTAACCATTGAGCCAATTCCCCAGCCTTTTTTTTGTGTTTTATTTAGAGATAGGGTCTTGCTAAATTGCTTAGGGTCTCGCTAAATTACTGAGGCTGGCTTTGAACTCTCAATCCTTCCGTCTCAGCTTCACAAACTTCTGGGATTACATGTACATGCGCAACCACACCCGGTTCTAGTTAACATTTTAAGTCTTTTTGTTACCCAAGTCTATAGTTGTAGGAATGAGGAAGAGAGGGAAGATGATGCTGGAGTCAGTTTGGATCAAGTTGTGCAGGGCCTTAAGTTTCTCTCTTTTTTAATAAGACTGCATTCTCATTATAGGTTATCTCTAACCTGCAATGTTTCAATTTAAGATTTTTCAAACTTATCATGGTGCAGAAGCCATTTGTACTCATTAGAAACCTTACTTCAGGCACTCCTACAACTATGTTTTTCAGTTTCAGTACAGTATTTAATAAATCACATGAGATACCCAACACTTTATTATAAAATTGGCTTTGTTAGATGATTTTACCCAACTGCAGGCTAATGTGTTTTGAAGACATTTATTGTAGGTTGGGCCAAGGTATGATGTTTGATGAGTTAGGGGAATTAACTGCATTTCAGTTATGATATTTTCAACTTATGATGGGTTTATTGGGATGCAACCTCATCATGCATCAAGGAGCATCTGTATGAGATTGAAATCTATAGCCCAGTAGTAGTAAGCAAGAGCTTTGCCCTGACTGAGCTTTACTTTCACTCCCCACCACCTACGGGAACCACTACCCACAACTTGGGGCATATATTTCCATTTTTTCAGTTCATAATTCATAGTTGACTTTCGAGTCTCAAATCAGAAGAAAACAGTCCAAACCCCTCAGCGGTTCTCTGGGTTGCCTAGTACTTTGTGTTTAGCTATTTGCCATTTGTTGGTCTCATTAGATTGTAATCTCCACATGGCCAAAGCTGAGTTACTAAATATTGTCCTGGTGCTTGGTCATCTCTGCCAGGGAGGGGGCTGGGTGTTAACTGAGGGTGGCTGGAAGAAGGTGTGAGGTCGCCTAGATAAAATGCAGGCCTTTCTCAGCCGTTTCATATCTAAATGCAATGAAGGCGCTCAGGCAGGTCACACAAACTGATAGTAGGAGCTGAAGACCCTTCAAATGAGAAATGCCCAAGTAATGCACTAAAGCAATGTGGCCAAGTTGGAGTTGCATGAAAGGATGCATGGAAGCCTTTCCCAGGCTTATTTCCCTCCTCTACAGAGAAGGGCCATTTATAGAGTTCATAATATTGGCGCCGTTTTGGTTGAAGTCACTTGCGAGGGCCGTGGAGGTCCGGCAGGTGCGGTGTTGCACGCCTGTAATCCCCCCCCTCGTTTGCAGCAAACCGGAGGATCGCAAATTCGAGATTTGAGTAATTTAGCGAGACCCTCTCTATGCAAACTAGCAAAATAAAATAAAAAGGGCTGGGGATGTAGCTCAGTGCTTGCCTAGCCTGCACCAGACACTGCGTTCAACCCCCGGCGCTGCAAAAACAAACACACAAACTTTTGCAGAATTAATTATTAGTAACGTCAGCTCAGATTCCACCCTCTTGGAGGCCCGGACTCTCCTCCTGTCGCGGCAGTGTGCGCTGTTTGGCCGCTTTGTCCACTCCACTTGGCCCGGAGACCGGCAGGATCTGTTTTGATCCTGGTGTCCTGGAAACGAGCGGAGGCTGCCCGACGGCGCTGTCCGTCCCGGCAGTCGCGCCCCTCAGGCCGCGCGCGCTGTGCTGTGCCGCCCTCCTGTGGCAGCTGCAAGGCGGTCTCCCCGTCGTCCTGCGGGCACCCTCCCTCGGCCGGTGACATCACCGCATTCCCGTTCCCAGCTCCTCCCGCCGCGGCGCCT